AAGGACCCTGTGGCTGGCGGAAAAATGTCCGTCAGGTTTGATCCATAATATAATATACATACTTTGGAGTCTTCAAGCGGATGTGCATAGCAAGGCAGAACCCCAGGATGCACCTGCACCTTCTCTAGCTTGCTGCCCGGGGCAGGTGCTGGTGGGGCGCCTTCGTCCATGGCGGAGGAGTGCTCTGGCAGCTGAGGGTTCTGCTGACCGCTTTAAATGGCAGCGAAAATTCCATGTCTGGAAAGTATAGGAAGGCAGGCAAAGAGAAGGCATGAGAAGCGCCTTCAACCCTACACACATAGTCACCGATATCAAACAACTGTCACCATTATTGACAATCAAACAACGATGCAAATTCTCTATCGATGCAATGCCTCCAAAAGCTGTTTCAGCAAAGCACTTTTCTTCCCTCAGCCTTGTTCCTCCGTCTACTTCTATGAGACTCTTCCTTGCAAGAATCGAGCAGAAGGATACAGCATTCCGTCCGGGATCATCGGTAGGACTTCTGGAAGCGAGCACGGGCAGAGCGACCTACCCCCAGGGTCACAAATGAACTTTGCACAATACGCACATTTATTTCTGCAGCTTGCTTCTGCTGCTGCTGTTGTACGATGCTCCACGTGTTGTCCAAAATGGGAGTGCATCTGAACAGTGCCAACAAACCAATGACACACTCAGTCCCTGCAAGTAGGTTCAACGAAGTTTTACCCAAAGTTTCCCTTCCAGCCTCCGAACTTCTTGGGCTCACAACGCCGAGGATCAGCCACAATCAATGAACGATCATAGGCCATGAGGATGTCCTCGAAAGAAAGCCCAGCTCAGGCAGTCTGCAGAGAATGAACGAACTGAACATCTTCAAAGGCCTGTCCTTGATCTCCTTCTTGGATGCCTCATCGATGTACTTCTGGTAGTATGCCACGATGCCCTTTGCGATGGCCTGCCAAGGTCTCTGCTAAGACAACTCTTTTGCTTATAAAATCGTTTGAGTGCTAAGTTCCAGCATCAGGAGCCGGTCACTCAATCCCAACTTGTAGTCATATTAAAAGAATTGTCATTCTCATGTTCCCTCTCTCTCTCTCTATCTCTCACACACACACTGGTGTCATTTACAATGAGATAAGATAAAGCTTGCTACTCCATGACTCAACATTGCCTGTCGCAGTGCATAGATCTGCCCAGTGAAACCTCCTCCTTTTACTCGCAGGCGGATGTCCACCTGAAACATGTTGGTGACAGCAGGATAGGAGTCTAAGAGAATCATTCAATGCACAATTCACCCACCTTGCTGCAGCGGTCCTTGCCCAGGAGTAGGAGAGGCTCGTAGACCTGAAAATCAACAAGTGAATAATAGCAAAAGTGTTTGGACCTCCTCCTGATCCCTTGCCTTGACCCGGAGAATGTCGGGTTTCACGGTGTGCAAAGGGCAACCGTTCAGGCGCACCTGTACAACCACATTTCAGCATTGCATTGGTCAAACCCATAGTGCCATAGTCCGTAGAACTTGATTGTGGTTCATTCTGCTTCAACCAAAGCTGCCGTTGGCCGGCCTGACCGCTGCCAGTGCGGACCAAGGCGACCGCAACGGCAGTCTTCTTGCGGCCGAAGCACTGGGCACACGAGGCACACGAGGCACACGAGTCAATGAGGAGGTTGGGACAACTGCTACAGTTGCAAAAGGCCCATTGCAAAAACATGCTACAAGCATCCAAGCTTTATAAATTACATAGTTTGGAGTCTTGACAAGAGGTCTGCTAAGGGACAAAAGCGTCCAAACAGGCATCTTCATTGCAATGGGCAGTGATGGGACGTTTGATGTCTTGCAAAGGTGACCGATGCACCTGCACCTTCTCTTGCTTGCTGCCCGCGACCGGTGCTATTGGTGCACCTTCCTCCATGGCGCTGAGGGTATGTTTCTTCGGCTCCCGCTGTTTCGAATGGCAGCAGTCACACCACAACAAGGTCTGCATTGCAGGATCGGCAAGCATGTCTGCATCACCCTGAAGTCATCGACTCTCCCTTCCACCACCATTTAAGAAAGAAAGACTGCATCTACTGGATCCCTCAAAAACTGTACAAAGATTATCAGAGATTGTATCTAGGTTTAGCCCCTTTTGAGGAGGCTGCCTAAGTGGTCATTTAGAGGCTTAAGTGGCCTCAATCTGGGATCTCAAAGGATCACTGGGTCACTTTGAAGAACCAGTCGGTGGTTTCTTCGAGAACATGTCCGGATTGACCGTGTATTTTAGAAGCATCGAGTGTCTGAGACCAACCCAGGTTGTTGTCCCACTGTTCGGAGCTCTTCTCCAAACACGAAGAGACATGAGCTGCAAAACGCTTCTTTGTTAGACCTCAGAATCGTTGTCCATCGCCGGATCAACCTGGCAACGAAACTTGAGTCTTCAAGTAATGCAAGAAATACATGCATACATACAATACAATACAATACAATGATGCAATACAACACATTACAATCATTACATTATATAGACTACTATACATACATAACTACATTAAACATCATTGAACACAGATAAATACCGCTATTGTATCAGATTGTATCATAATTGTATCATATTGAGGCCAAAGTAACCTGTGGATGTAGTCACTTTGATGAAGCATTCTGTCTTCATTCCAGACATTCCGGTAGTCAGTCGGATCAATCATCCATCATCCCAAGTAGAGGTTAAACAGAAACAACTCCAAAAATAAAACAAACAACAACCCTTCAACGCACGGCAAGGCCCCACTCTGCCTGGCCCCACTTCATCCGATCTTCCAAAGGTCCCTCTTTGGCCTGTCGGACGTTGGCACTGGCATGCGCGAAGCGCGCGCGGTGCCGGTGGTCTGATCCAAGGAGTGATGCTGCTGAGAACTCAGAAAACACATTGACCATCATTGACCTCACCTCCTTACCCCGACTTGATCCAACGCAAAAAACGTTTTCAGAGGCCTTCCTAGCCCTTGACCTTCATGGTGTGGGGTACTGGAAGTTGCGCCCACCTCCCGAAGACATAGCTGGGCACGGGGCAAGGCCAGCAAGCAAAGGCATACACCCGCCAAGCATCCTTCAACTCCTGCCTGGCCAAACGTGGCACTGCTTCTCTCTGGCCAAACTCGGCTGCAGCTATGATGGGTTTAGCGGTGTCGAACAGGGAAAAAATCACGCGTCCAAAAATCATTGGGTCGTTTTCGTCGAAGTCTGCTTGTCTGTCTCGAACCAGCACCATGTCACTGTCCTCCATGCTGGGCCGTGATGTGATGCTAGACTCTAGACACCCAAACACGACCCGTCTGGGACTGCCATAGGACTGCCGCCCCATTGACTCCTGATTCAACCACCCCAGCTGGGGCGGCAGTCCGAACTGGCAGTCCCATGAGTCGTGTCTGGGACATGTCAAAACCGTCTCATCCCGTCTCAGGACCCGCCTCAGTGAGTTTCTCCAATGACGCTTTGTAGGCCACCGAAGCTAAGGACAGTAACAGAATCCCCAGCAAGCCCACCTGCACGATGGAAGGTGCTCCCCCAAAGAAGAAAACTCACCATGAAAATCATGATAAATGTCCAGTACATCTTCACCCTTCTGCATGTTCAATGCAAATCATCCCCGACTTTGGATACAAATTGAAGTTCGACCGCTCAAGTGTCTTGTTGCAAGCCTGAACCCTGACAAGAAAGACCAAGAACAACCAACGAATCACAGTAAAAAACCAAAAGCACCTCAACACCAATCCAACCCAAATCCACCCGATCCCGATCCCCAACGGCGCCTCAACCTGCTGCAAGGTCTGCTCCTCTTTGCGCAGCACTGCAGCATATCGTCTCAGCCTGTCGATCCGGTCGATCCGGTCGATTCCGGAGCTGCACAGTGCCGCGCCGCACACCGCGTCGATCGCGTTGGTGCGGTGCCGGGCGCCCGTGCCGGTACACCGAGGCGCACAGCAGAGCGGCCTGGATGGAAACGCGGTACCGAGCGGCGGTACCGCGGTACATAGCCAGTATACAAACACGACTCATGGGACTGCCATATATATGCCTACAAACCACCCCAATGTAAGCATATACCTGGATCCTCCTTTGGGCGGAAAAAAGTGCCGGCCTCAATCCGGCAACATTTTCCGCCGGATTCCGAAAAAAAGGCCGGAGACCTGAAAAACATCCGGATCCAAGATTCTGAAAAACAGAGATGATAAAAGGTTGGATCATACACAAGGAAATTGCCTTTGCGCCGCGAGTAGTTCTTCTGGAGCACACTCGAACCTTCCCGTTCCCATTGCCCTCGCCCATCTTCCGAATGGCTTAAGAGCAGAGCCATCACAAAATATAAGCAACTTGTGCCCAAGCAAAGACTTCCAAGAAGAAACCAAGGAGCATGTGGCAATGAACTCATCTTTCTCTGCAACCGTGTCTCTAAAGCGTTTTTTTTACAAAGTGGGTTGCTCTCCATGATTCTTATGCTTCTTAATGTTTCTTTAAAGGTTGCCTCAGGACGGCCCCCCAATAAAGTAGCAGAACTCATGGCTCCTGTCAAAACTCTTCTTTGAAAAACGTTTCAAAGTCAAAGCCAAAGCCTGCAGAAGACTCAGTCCAAAAAAGCCGTCGGAGTTACGGGAAATAACGCCGGAGTTACGGGAAATTACGCCGGAATTACGGGAAATTACGCCGGAGTTACGACGTGCCATTTTTTGACAACTCTCTGCAAAACATTGAGATTCTGAACAACACATGTTCCACAGCCCAAAACTTGTCCGGCAGGCTCTGCAAACCTGCGCAGCTAGAACTATATCCCAGCGCCCCGACATCCTGAAACAATGGGAGTACATTTTTGCCTATGCTCTTTCAGCTTAGGTACGCCCACTTGGGTCTTTCAACAGGTGCACCGCACTGTACCGGCTTCATCCGATTTCATTTAGAAGATCACCTAAACGATCTAAACGGATCTGATTGATCCAGTGTGAACCATGCTGAAACCGATGGAATCAGAAAACAGCGGAACAGGCAAACGAGCACACTTTGCAAACAAATAATTGCATCAGTAGTGGGTTTACCTTCAAAGAAATGCAGACCACAAAGAATGCAAAGCCTTGAGAATCCACATAAAGTGACTTGGAAAAAGCGCCGGACCAAATCCAGAAAAACGCCGGAGTTGGAAGTCCGGCGCCGGACCCTGTAAAAGTGCCGGACTGAAGATCTAGGTATGGCATACATGGAGTGTCTGGGGTATACAGTAGTACTCAGTACTGTACTCAGTACTGTACTCAGTATACTATATACTAATGAGGTTGACAATCCGTGTCTGAGAGGGGTCAAATCTGATCGTCACAGTCTGCATCAGTCTGCATTGCAGGTAGCCAGCTAATTTGACAGGGATCCTTTGGTCTTGACTGTAAGGGAGGCTTTGGTCGTGGCTGAGAATTGGTGGCTTTGGTCGTTCTTTGGCCGGCCCATGGACCGATGTCGTGCCTGCTGCATGGAGTAACAAGAAGCTGCAGCTGAGGGCATTACTACTAACTACTACTCAGGGCGCTAGTAACAAGTGGTCACTAGGCATTACAAGTACTCCGGTGCGGTTTGTGCCTTAGCGGCGGAACTCGCTCGTTTGTGGAGATCGCCGGAACTGGACGGACTTGTGCCCCGACTCCTGGGACGCCCGACCACAGCAAGGATGAAAGGGCTAATGGTCAACGCCTCGGTCGAAAGGAGGCTCGAAACGGTCACAACGGTCACAACGCCTCGGTCACAACGAACGGTCGTGACCTCATGTGAACGGTCGCAGAGCTCTGCTCAGTCGTTGGATCATCACTCCCGAGCCGGAAATCTGTCGAAAGGACAAAGGTGTGAACCGAAGGAACTCCACCTGTTCGACCTCGTTCTTGTTCAGTGAGTGAGGAATCCATGAGCCCAATAAAAGGTTAAAGGATGTTGGTTATCCACTGACTGGGTCGGTCTCATAGTCCTTTACTATTGCGGTTTGATGTTTTGAGTGCCACGAATTTCTGTGCCGATTAAGAAGGGCGCCTGAGCTGAGTTTCCTCCGGTGATGGCAAAGCAAATTGATGACACCAAAAGCCCGGCACCTGTGACAAGGAGCTGAAACCACAACCCATTTCTCCTACTTTGAAGGATGAAGCTATTGGTGCAAACAAAGAAATTGCCCAAACATGCCACACAGGCATAGGTGGCAAATTCCACGTCACATCGTTCTCAACAGTCATGACAGTGTTTGTCCATGCCAACAGCAGCTCATCAGAAGTCTTGTCAGTAAAAGAAGACTGTCTCAACCTGTCTCAACTGTTAGAGGCGAAGGTCATTCCGATGTCAACACCCCACACCTAGAGAGATCCAAAGCGTGGAATTGTCCTGGTGTGTCGGGCTTCAACGTACTGAAATCAATCTGAACCCACTTCTGGAACCGACCAGCGACAAACCTACCTGGACTGGACGTAGTAAAGATCCCTGGAAGTTGTAGTGGAGTGTGGTCCAGTGGGGCGACCCATTGGATGGTCTTGGTACGGGTTGCGTATCGGTTGCGCCAAAGAACCATGTACATACCTGTGAGACTCACCTAGTCTACTTCGTGGGCCTGGCGAATCAGTCTGCGCGGGAAGGTGTGCCCATGATGTTCACGCTAAGAGACAAGAACGAAAACAACTGACGCAAACCCCCAAAAACTGGGACACCAAAATGAGGTGCCCGAGGTGCTTGGCGACTACCCAACTCTTCATTCCTGGGGGGTATCAGACCAGCAAACATGGCGTTTGGGTGCTTGTGTGAGGTTGTCTCTCTCTCTCTCTCTTGAAATACAATTGACATACACCTCTTTGCTACAGAAGGACCAACCTCTGTGACGGACATGCAGGACAGTCAGGGGCAGGATCAGCGGGAACATTCGAATGCAGTTTGCAGGGCAATGCAATCATGTCTCCGAATATGTGGTTGATCATGTTTGTTGACGGGAATCAGCATGACTCACTGATGGCGAGGTTCGTCTCACATGGTCATCAAATGAGTCCTTGAAGAGGGTGCCCTGGCAAATTGACAGCCTTGGGCTGCGACAGAACAGCACAAAACAAACCAAAACAAAGAATCAGCAAGGTGGCATAAGGTAGCAAAGAAGAGAAGCCTTCAAGAGGCAACATATGCGCATGTTCAGAAGACCAATAGATCTGGTCGATCCCGTTTTGTTTCCTTTTGGGCAGCCAGAACTATTTCACGAATGGATCCCCCAAAAAGACTCTTGGAGACAGCCGATGTGAGTCGAGCCGACACTCTCAGTGGCGGACAGTGAAACGAGCACAGACAGCACCGTGCAGCTGGTCAAAGAACTGGCCTCGCCTGCGAGGCCCAAGAAGCTTCTAGTAGCAAGAAGCTACTAGGTGGAGGCCATCGCTACTAGGAACAAGAAGCTAGTAGTAGCTATTTGCTACTAGTAGTGCTGTACGAACTGCGCATCCTGTCACGTTGAACCACATTCGGCTGCACGATCTAACGGCGCGGGTGTTTAGGTCCGATTTCGGGCGGGCAGCCGGCAGCCCGGCGGCTGCGGATGGATGCATCGAGGGCAACCATCGAATCCAACAGATTTCGTGCTTTCAGACTGACTCAGGTCTCACTGATGACATGAGATCCAGAACGAAGAAAAAGCACCTTAAGAACAACGAATGGCACCAGAAATCCTCCACCATAAAACCTTTCGAAGCCGAAGGCATCCTGAATCATCCAGGTTAAGCCTTCACGGCTCAACCTGGACATTTCATGAACTTCCACGTGGACCTTTGTCGCACCTGCTTGGGACGTCGCCAGATACCGACAAAGGTCAAACCTGGGCGACGGACGGCGACCAAACCCTGCCTCGAGGTTTGTGAGGAATTTTGAGGGGTCCAAAACGGTCCATAACCCCAAGTGGCCCAACCCCGGTCCAAAATGGACCTAAAAACATTCTAAAAGCTATATATTGATCTATATTGACTGAAGGGTCCAGACATGTCGACCCGACCCTAAGAGATTGGAGGTCGAATCTTGGACCCGTCCGTTACCTCAGGCCAGCGCTCAGTGTAAAATGCCAGGATCAGAAAGAGAAGCCCGGGAATGGTTGTGACGATTTGTGGTAGCACCTCCGGAGATCACCATCGGACTGCGGGACACTGGACCTCATGCAGATCAAGTTTCCCAGATCAACATGCCCAAAACCACCTCGGGTCGGTCTTCCGAAACATGGTCGGTGTTCATTCTCAGGGTCCATGGGATCGTGGACACGTGGGACGCGTGGGGCGAAGTATATGTTGGAGACAGAGGTCGAACACAGACCTGGTGGGTATGAGTAGCTTCCAACTTGGCCAGAGAGAGGTCTGACCTGAACATGATGGCTTACGTGAGGTTGGCTTAGACATCAAGCCGGAAACAGCACTGACAAGTCAGCCTCGGTTAGGATGCTGGGGTTGTCGTTGATGCGTACGACGCGCTCTGAAAGGCAGAGCTTGATATACCTGGAAAAACACATCATCGTTTTCATGTCAACACATCAGCTTTGCCAATTAGAAGCAACTGATTCAAACTTGAGGCAGGCGGACTGGCAAGAAGCACACCAGGACAAGATCAGCAACAGCACACCTTGGAGGGACTGTCTCGGCGCCATTTCATGAAAGTGAAGCGAAAAGCGTGTGCGACCCAGCTCGTCGCCTATTAAGGATGCAACTGGCCCCATATCCAATCCATATTGGAAGAAAAATCAACCACCAGTTTGCCTCAGTTCAAATTCAATCCAAATCCTCATTGCTTACAGTAGCTATTTGCTATACCAGTAGTAATGCCACGAGCTACGTTCGTAGCTTCTTGCTCCGTTCGAGAAAAGCGATGCCCTGACCTGCTCCGTTCGAGTCGCGTCTTGTTACATCTTGTTACTATGATTCGACTGTCCTGAGCCCCAGACCTCTTGAGTTGAAATCTCCTGCAGTGAAACCTTGCGCTCCAAACGTCTCGCGGTCCATAAACCACCGACGCGTCGGTCCGTCACCGATCGTCCGAAGGCGCGAGACGGTGGGTTTTTCCTGGGCGCCCCAAACAAAAAGAGCGATGAAGGTCAAGCCATGCGCCACCAGGACGGCCAGCCGCGCAGAGAGACCGCATAGGAAGGTATAGAATGCCGTCCTCTCCTGAACGTCGGAGACGCTCACGTCGGAGAGATGCATCCCACTTCACTTTCTGACTCCAATTTCGATGGATCCCGTCAGAAACGTGGGAAGATCATGGAAGATCGACTCTCAGATATCATGGCATCGGGCATCACTGGGTCCTTTACTTGGATGCTTCACGACAATTGATCACATGTGATCACAGTTGATCAGATTGATCATATCTCATAATATCTCATATACTTCCTCGGATAAAGCTCCCAGCTTCGGATGGGCCTGTCTGGCTCCTTCTCTTTCTCGAAGAGTTCGAGGGTCCTGAATCTCCGTCGGTCCCGGCGAAGCGGCGGACGATGTATTCCACGATTTGCACGGACGTTCCTCATCGTCGATGAAGCCAACCGCGGAAGCACGCATCGCCATGGGTGGCAGCGTTGGGTCACATGGTGAAAGGTTTTTGCGAAAACAAGGATCACTGATCTGTCATGATCTCTCACTACGGTGTGTTGCGACGGAAATTCCAGGGGGAATTCTGTTTCTTTTTGACAGTTTTTGACCAGCTGCCCACTACGCACCGAGCAACACATATCCCCTTGGTGCCCATGTGTTCTTTTCCTGGCTGGCAATCGGATGATGCTCCTTAACTTCAGACTTGACTAGGTAGTGAAGGTGCAATTGCAATTTGTCTCTCTAGCCAAAGGTGTGGGTTTGAGACCTTAAGATCCTTAAGTGAGTGCAGAATGAGCACACCTACCCCTTTGGAACTCCTGGTAAATAGATCTGGATGTTTTGAGCAGTGGCATAGTACATGCAGCATAGCCTTGAGGATGGGAGAAGAGTCCTTGAACTGTACGAGCATCGTCACTGATCAATGCCCAAAGATCTGTATGAACCTATTCTGGCTCTAACATGCTCTAACCTCAAAAACCGACCAGTGGGTTGACATGAAAGGGTTGAAGCATCTTAAAGCCCAAAACATCCGGGTTGTTCCAAACAGGTAACCTACCCACTCAGTGGATAACCATGGATAACCTATATCAAACGAACTTGGGGGGGAAATTGATTTCACTCAAAGCGAACAGGTGAAAACAGGTGAACAGGTGGTTGAGGTTGACCTATTGTTGCGGCAAACGACCCGTGAGTTCAACCACATGACCCGGTTGAGTCAGGAGCCAGCTCAACCGGGTTGATCGAAGCGGGTCCAGAAAGCGGTCGATTGGATAAAGATCTGTTGGGAATGCGGGCTGTCTGGTAACAGTTTTTTTTCCCATGCTTTCATGTACAGTAATATGCTGGAGAATTCCACCAAAACACATCCAGTCGCTCCCATCAAGTAGTTCAGGCTTTCCAAGCTCGCTAGCACCTTCTCTTTCTCTGTGGGAAGGGGATGGGGCTGCGCAAGGTGATGGCCTTCCTATTGAAATCACATATGGCCGTGGGGCCAGTGCTTACGATTCTGGTGCACCACACAATCGCTAGCGGCGTCAAAGCGAGGCAGCTGTTGTCCAGACACAGCTTTTAGAGAAAAACTCATCCAAGCAGGCACGGTGTTCTTGCCCAAGTGTCTTTGGGGAACTATAACTAAATATAGAATCAGCTTCTGTCAGTTCAAGCAATTTTCTCACATTGGAGTCCACACAAAATTTAATTGAACATATATAATTGAGCAGTGGAGTTTGATGGACAACGGTGTCCCACTTCCACCGGGCTACCCGCTGTAACCTCCACAGTCGTGCCCGGTTCTCAGCCTTTTTCCCGACTCATTCTTCAGGCTGAGCGCAATCCTTGAACGGTCCGCGCCCGCGCGGGCATGCCAATTCGCTCACATCATCTGCTTGGCTCCTTCCAGCGTAGCCCGCCGTCACCGCCCTAGGAGTCCAAATCGAATCTTCCCGTGGTGAGTAGCAACCTGCCGCTGTTAAGGACCCTGGAGTTTCAAGCACACGGCGCTTTGTGTAGGCAGGGAGATTTCCCCACAAAATATCACAAAATGATACAAAATGTATGGTGTCATGCTTCTGCATGATATGCATGCATTGTTTGTGCGCGGTTTTACCACTCCAGAGAGCATGCTCAATGTAAGTCACACTGTAATTACGTCTTGCATGTCCGAAAACTTTGTCCCTTGCGTGTTTTCTGCAGGTCAGGGACCAGGCGGAAGACAAGCGGGCTCAATCCGTCTGCGCAGTCAGCATGGATGCTATTTGCCATCCATACTGCTTGAGGTGTCCCCGCAATCGGTCGATTACCTGGCCTTCTTCTGTTGCCCGGAGATTCCATGCGAGCCATGCGTTCGCAAAACGCGACGAAGAAAACGAAGAGAGCGGCCACCAGTTGTCGCACGGTACAGATTTGGTGCGCAAACAGTTGGTATACACTGTACACCCTTGCCCACATAGACATCAACACTCCGTGAAATTCGTTCAAAAGGCCGACAGACAACGTCCAACGATCTGGGTCTTTGTCACCGTGTCCAACACAAGCCGCTCAAGAGTGCACGCGACAAGGGTCGCCAAAGAAATCAGGGAGTCCACATGTTCAATGTCCACAGAAAATCAAAGTCTCAACTCAGGATGAGGACAGGGCGTCCCGACCAACCGAAGCAGAACCACCAAAAACAACGAAACCACTTCGAGAGGGTTCAGCATGCTGTAAGCCCAGAGGCTTAGCAGTTCACCAAAAGCCCATAATGTCTGCTTGAAAACGCAGGGGTCACAAACGACGACGGCAGCTAAAACAATCATGTCTTGGAATGAAGCCACCTACCTCCTGTGGCTCCTATAACCCAACAAAGGACCTTAAAGATGTTTGAGGGTTCCAAACCCAAACACTCCATGTATGCCATATATGCCTACGTTGGGGTGGTTTTGGGGATATGTGGCATAGAGCATGGAGTGTCTGGGAAATGGACCACACGTCCAAGATATTCCAAGACGAGCTTTTTCACAACGATCATCTCCCCTGTAAAGCACTGTGTCGATGTCTGGCTTCGAAGTCTCCTTCAGCTCCAACAGTCTGGCTTCCAACTTCTGAACCTCCACCCTGCGAGCGAAGCGTCAATGTAGATCGAACACACGCCACCAGAAATCTGCGGTCTTTGAACATTTTGGGTGGTTGTGGGTAGCACATGACAAAACAGCGCCCTTTTCTAAGCGCGTGGTT